TAACAACTATTGCCGTGGATGCCGCGAACGCTACACTGCTGCAATTTGGCTGGGTAGCTACAAATACCATGGAACTTCGCCTTATTAACACCCAACAAATGCCGTTGGCTTATCCAGCGTCACCTTCACCCCAGCAGCTGTTGCAGGTAAAGTATAGTCCCTCCTGGAGTACGGTGCCCCTGGAATCAACTTGATCTGCGCAAAAGCACTTAAAACCCTTTCTCCCACCATAGCAGCACCAATTGCAATCTTTTCCAAGATCTGCTTAACTCCCGTACACTTCCATTTGAGTGGAAAACTAGCATCATCACTTCAAGGTACAAAGGAGGTTTGCGATCGGATCCTGAAAACTACCGATCTATTACTCTTCTTCCCATTTCATCAAACATGGTGGTATCGGTACTCGTTGATGAGCTGACGAGATACTTTAAAAGTCTACAATAATTGCTAATGCCAAACGTGGTTTCGGACGCAGAGGATCTTGCTTCACCAGCTTTGCTGCTTACTCGGAACTCACTGATCAAGGTGGCTGATGAAGGGTTCCCCATAGATGTGATTTACTTAGGTTTTTCTAAAGCATTCGACAGGGTCAATCATTTCTTTCTCCTCCAAAAGCCTGCTGCCTACAGTATCAACGTTTCTCTACTCACCTGGTTGTAGACGATCTGCACGACTGAGTCATTGAGTGAAGAATAGCCGACACTCACTCTACAAGCCTGTGCATCTCCAGTGGTGTACCACGAGGATCCGTCCTCGGCCCGCTACTGTTTTTAGTCTACATTAATAATCTTCCAGCAGACTTCTATCTCCGATGCAAATATTGGCAGACAAACTAAACTACGGAGAGCAATTCATTCAGCATTCGACCGTGTCTATCTTCTGGAAGATCTGGCTCGGATTAACGAATGAGCAGAAAGGAACCAGATCATATTGAACCCTACAAAGTACTACCTACTGCCGGTGGGAGCAACACGTCCTGCATTACGTTACTTGTGAACGCCAGTTAGGTGTAATCGTGCAAGAGATTCTTGGAGATTCGCTGAAATGTTCGGAAGCAGCACGTGTAGCGAACTTGAACTTGAGACTTTGATCCGACCTCTCGGCACCTTTGAGCAACGTCTAGTACCATCGCTGAGTAACTCCTACATTCGCCCTCACGTTGAATATGCAATTCAGGCCTGGTGTCCATGGTTAAAACGAGACATCCGCCTATTGTTACAACCCGAAAACAGAGTCACAAAGGCAACGCGTGGACTATCCGGTCTAAGTTCCGAACTGTGTCTTCGTGTACTCGGTGTGTTCTCCTTAGAATACCGACGGCTTCGCGGAGATTTCACTCTCGCGCACCACATAGTAGCTGAAAATGAGCACCTATGTACAACACTGTTGACCCTATACGCTTACAAACAAATCCGTGGCAACCGCCTGAAACTAATGACGCAACACTCTCGTTTGAATTGTAGAAAATATTTTTACTCACTTAGCCTCTGTTCTCAATGGAGTTCACTACCAAGATATTAGTGAACTCACCAGAAATGATGACGTTCGAAAGGCTCTTAGACTTTAATCTTAGCGATATACGCTATACAAGATTTGGTAAAGTGCAATGATTTAACCACTGATACTTCCCCTTCCATGTTGGAACATTTTGGTTTCATTTTCCTTTTCCCTATCCATCCTGTGGGTCTTGTAAAGTTATGCATTTTAGCCTATCAGACACTATTGAACGGTCGCCAAGAGGAGACGTCCTGGACAGGAGCCCATGGCACAACAGTCGCAGCATTAGGTAGACAATCTGCCAGGATTTAGCCACCAACAGCCACAGCGTATGATGAACTCTCCCAGCTATATACATGCTTGGTATCTAGCTTGACGATGTATCAGCAAATAGACGATTGTTTGCTAAACCGTATTTACAAGACTGAAACTGGTATCATTAACAATTTGGGTGCAAAATTCGTGTGATATAAATTACTAATTAACCACCAACTCAATTCTACCCATGGATTTTTCAAAGTGAATTTTCTACAACGATGAAGCAGATTAATATAGCGTCTTTTTTAACGTTCTATCAACAAATATGTATAAAATTGCTCTTTTGCCTTTCAAACGCAACAGTTATAGTTGAAGCTGACCAGAAGCTAAACTGAAATCCTAATAAAAGCAGACTATTGGTATACTTGAAGAAGGAACATCCTGGATTTTTCGGCTGATAAAAATTTTGGCTTGAGTATTCTGTGCGCAGTTGCTTTGGCCTTGACCGATGCGTTTTCCAGATCGCTTTCAGTGCCGCTTCGATTAATGCAGTCGACGTGTATTGAGCTCGAGATATGTATTTTCTGTGCACGTTTAAATCATAGCTAGAGTGTAGGACTCAATTGCATAATAATTTAAATTACAGGCATTGTGGGTAGGGCTCCGATGTACGCGTCTGTGAAGGTATAGCCTCCTGTCAGAGATCTTATAACACAAACGCGGATACATTGCCGAAAACTTATTGATTCGAGCTGGACAGCGCATCGCCCATCACAACCAATTCTACGCGTGCAGGATATTTTACCTCAGTGCAATGATTCCGTTTTTGTATTGAGGTACAGTAGAGTTTCTATGGTGGTTAATAAACATCGGGAGAAAAGTCACGATTGGCATGAGCGTAGCTGTCTGAGGTCACTGTCGGACAAGCATAAATTGCTTTCAGGCACGGTGGTAAGTAATTTGCTTTGGCATTTAACACTCTTGATTCCCACATGTGCCTGGGTGGCAAGTTTCATGCATAGGAGGTTCGTTGTACTTGTTAACTTATCGTTTAGTTACATGTACTACCTCAACTGGACAATACTGGATGCTATCATTTCAGGATGCATATACAACTTGCACCAATGTGTCAGGTAGAGCAGGCCGGTTTACCGAAACACCCAATCATAAATGTGAATGTTAAACGCTGGTGTGCGCAGTTAGTCTGGACTAATTAGTGGACATTGTCTCGTCATCGTCTAACTTGATCCAATTCAGCACATGTTAGCGTACCAGTCTAGTCACCGCTACTGCAGCCGAAAGCAGTTCGCTGTCATTCACAACACTGTATAACGCCAAACGACTGTTGCAGTACATAGAAGAGGCTAGTGGTCATGAGTTCGAATTCTGCTGAATCCCATGGACACTCCTTATTGATGATATCCAACAATTTAAAAATGCAGCCTAGTGCGGAAAGTTCACAGTGAAATACACAAGTATATTACTGTAGGGATTTTTGATCCCTGAATAAGTCAGTTACAATGATTGCTGAACGTATCTGCATAACTGTGTCTCACCATGGCTTAGGAATACAATCATTTCCCAATTCAACCAGTCAGAACAGACCGGATATCAAATTGCGCTCACCAAGCAGACTAAATTTAACAGCTGCCAATAAAGTAGTGTTGTGTTTGCCACAAGGTAAAATTTCAAATCTATGGTTTATCCCATCCTTTAGTATCGCGGCCCCATCTATGCTGGCATACACGTTGCTGACAGAAAGGTTCTGCACACCTTGCAAGGAGAATCCACTAGACGTATGCTCAGCAGTGCGTTCACCGCGAACTATCAAGAGCGTTACCAGCAGCTTTGAATCGACGCCCCGTGGTTACAAAGACTGAAACATACTGCGCTTCTCATGCGCAATCTCTTAAACCTCATGACATATCGATCTGTACAAATTAAAATAGCAACCTAATTTCACTCGGAATATTAGCAAGATCCCTTGTAAATTACATGTAAAAAGAACCAGCCCTGCTATGTGCTCGAATTAATCCCGCCTCAGATAGGATGTAGAATAGCCTATCTGGCATTATTACTTGTGAAAAAGCATGTCACTCAGAAGCGTTAATTTACATGTTCATTCGAAAAATTGATTGAAATTCAGAATCTCTTTGTTATAACTCATCGCGCAAAACAGTATCACGTGATGCAGACTATCCACCATACGTGAGGCATGCTCCAACAATTATCACTTACTAATTAAGAGTTCGCCGCACTAGCTTCTAAACAAATATTCCTTCTCCTCTTGCGGTTTCAGCCTGTTGCCCATTATCAGTAGTGCACACCCATCGATTCCCTCAAGATTCGAACCTATGACTACCAGCGGCTTGCAACGTCAGTCAGCAGCTTATGCCACTGGGCCACGGGGGACAGCTTCGGATCGTCATGACTTGCAAGCTAACAGTGATATAGCGCGCCTTATCCTCCACCGTCATGCGCTTTACGAATGTTGTAGAGAGCAGGGTTGGCCCCGAAATAGATGATGTCTAATTTGAGTAGCTATGTACGACATGCAAATCAGAAACCTTTAAAACGGATATCCCTTAGTTTATAGAAATGAGCAGAGCTATTCAATCCATTGGTAGCATAGGTGATTCCATTAACTTTTCCGTCGCAGTAGCATCATGCATTTCTACATGTGCAGTTGACAGTTGTTCCTTATATCAGCACATTCCAAGTTTTCCGTCTTAACTAATTGGCCCCAGTGATTCTGATTTCTCGAGTGCCGTGTGTTCGTTTTAAACTGCTCAGTAGTCGCTACCGGCCTTGGTCAACGATATCTGAGTTCAGGCAATGGTTGTTATCCTTGGACATCTGACTGCAGTCCTTGCGTTGCAGTCTACAAATCAGCTGGAAAAATATGTGAAGTTTCGGATAAAAGATGCGCATCGGAACAATGTATTACAGCTCCTATCTCTTTGATTTGACATCCAGGGACCAAATAGCCACTCATGTGATTGCACTAGTATTAATAAGGATAACATGTGTTAGTAAACACTGATGAAGATTTTTAAAGGCCCACCTATGTGCAGTAATCGGAGCATTGGGGTTGAGCCAGGTTATTTTATATTCAATGCGGTATAAAAACCACCACATCATTGCTAACGTGGTAGTGCAGACCAGACAGACAGCCAGACAGCCAGCATCGCCTCTCACGTTTGCGTGACAACCTGCGCGATTGCGCATCATTTGACCAAACATGCTTTGTTACCGTTGGCTAGTTGGTTGCATTGTGCACCCATTAACGATAGACATGTATGGATATGGATTGATCTGTTGTATTCGCATGTAACGCACTTCACTTGTATCTTGATCCATAGACGCGACGCTACGTGTCGTAGTGACAATAATAATTCAGTATTTCAACTCTATTCCAACAGACAAACGAATTGTCTCCATTTTGTGCTAAGAACACTGTCTATTTTTCTAAATGGCGTCCAAAAACAAAGGCACCAACGATGTGAAAGGATGGTATCACAAAACGTGCACTGCACCGGGTCGGCTGGATGGCAAATTGGCCGTGGTCACCGGAGCCAGTACGGGAATCGGAGAAGTGACAGCCTCCGAGATGGCACGACGGGGTTGCAAGGTGATTATGGCGTGTCGTGACCTGAAGCGGGCGCAAGCCGCGGTTGATCGGATCTTGGATAAATATGGGCCATCTAAACCAGATAGTGTCAAGCTGGATGTTGCGGATTCCTCAGTTATTCAATACCTGTCAGTGGTGCAACCAGACCAGGTGAGTTTTGAGCAGTTGGTGTTGATACAGTTACTCCGGAGTAAGTCACTGCGGTGATCAGCTAATGCATATTGCTTCAGACTGTCTTGAGATGTGCCACAAAATTATACCACCGTATTATAGGTTGGAGATGCATTGCTTGATTTTATCGTATACATTCAAATAAAGGTTTTGTGTCATTTTATTCAAATACGGGGATGGTCGCTGTTGCCATTTGATTATGTAAAGCACGTATCTGACAGTTTCCAATTAGCAGTGAAAATTACACAAGTCAATTTGCTAAGAATTTGTTTGACTACTTTCAAAAGAGCGACACTAAACGCTCTGCTAATGTGGCTCACCGACTGCTTCAATATTGCCACAAAATAAGTTCCAGACATGGTGTTAAGTTTAAAAATGAAAACCCACCCCTTTTTGAGCGCTTTGATCGAAAAATAAATCATTTTGTTTACCGGTCTACGTGAATTTACCTAATGACTGTGGAAATCCAAGTTTTACTAATTGTTGAAAATTAGCGCTTTCTGCATGCTTTCAAAAATATCATTTGAAGCTGCGTACCAACATTAGTGGCCATCTTCATTCGCCAATGTTTCTTGAAGCACGACAATGCATGCTTCCAATCCACCCGTAAAGCTAAGCGACAAAGGGAGATTTTGCTTTCTAGAGAAATGTTAGTTGAAGGGTTATTTAGTTGTTCTATGACAAGTTGGTTTGAAACTGAAGCCAGTCATATTTTTTATGGATTGCATTAGGGATTGTGAATTAAGCACACGGAAGCGAGGTAAACTAGTATCTTTCCTATTACACAGGCTTCGCTGTGATGACAATATTCTAGTGACCTACTAGTTAGTGTATTATGTTAGTGCAACTGAATCAAGTCTTAGTTTGAAATTGGATCTTCGTTTTATTTCATACAACTCCCCTCGGTATTCCATAACTAGCAAGAGCAAAATACTATTTCATCCGAGTATAATGGTCGGTTGAGATTATTAATCATAAAAATGTACAGGATAGGTACAAAAAGTCATCTTAGCATTCAAATAACCCCTTATTACTCTTATTTGTTCTACCGTGGTATTACCCAACTTAGTTCTGTTTGTTCATCCTAAGATAACGTAGACTGGGAAAAATGTTTGAAAAAAACAGGAACGTATTCATCGTATATGATGTTGATGTTGAGGTTACCAACACTGGACGCGCTTGTTCGTCACAGTAAAATAAATTTGGTTAGGCGGCCTGTGGGATTTCTTCCAGTCCTCTAAAGAAGAGTAGTTTCAGTAACATTTATACTCTGCGGCGTACTTAGTTTGGGTCTGGCACAAAAGAATCGGAGTTTACTATGTATACCACCAATGAAACCCAGCACAAGCCGACGGCGAACGTAGGCTAACTATCCTACCTAGTTCAAATAAATACAACAAGTATACCTTGCCGTCATAGAAAGCAGAATTGACAGGGTGGTTTACTAGAGAGTTTGCCGGCTGGATTATTAGTCGGCAAGATAAAAATAAGGAGAAAATAAAGAATGTAGTCGGAAATACGGTCAACAACTAACATCTATATGATCCCTCTTGATCGATGGATAAATGAATTTAGCACGGGCAAAACAGCGAGGCTTAACAATTCCCGCAGATAAAGAGTGAAAAGAGGATGTGAAAGCATCAACAAAATCAAAGTACTTCATATCTTTGGACTCACCGAATTTTCACTTGTGCACATAGTTTGGTTATATCATGATGTGTCTCAGTAACCTTGACAAAGTCTTATAGTGCGTGCGGTGTAATGTTTCACCAAGTTGAGTTTTGGATTCAGTAACTGTAGAAGTGGATGTGACGAAAAATTCGGAGAGCGTTCCACCAGTGAGATACACTAAGAAAATTGCCAGTGGCATTCCAGCCTGTTGTGCTGTGCGGCTTAATTCAATTGATGACCCCGAAGTGAGGTGTTGGGATTTAATTTCGATTAATGTCTATGTGGGTAGTTTGGATCGTCTAGGGTCTGAAACAAAAATATACGATCACAGCGCAGGCGACGGTCTTGACCACCGAAGTCTCCTAGTCAGGGACCAAATAGCCACTCATGTGATTGCACTAGTATTAATAAGGATAGCATGTGTTAGTAAACACTGATGAAGGTTTTTAAAGGCCCACCTATGTGCAGTAATCGGAGCATTGGGGTTGAGCCAGGTTATTTTATATTCAATGCGGTATAAAAAACCACCACATCATTGCTAACGTGGTAGTGCAGACCAGACAGACAGCCAGACAGCCAGCATCGCCTCTCACGTTTACGTGACAACCTGCGCGATTGCGCATCATTTGACCAAACATGCTTTGTTACCGTTGGCTAGTTGGTTGCATTGTGCACCCATTAACGATAGACATGTATGGATATGGATTGATCTGTTGTATTCGCACGTAACGCACTTCACTTGTATCTTGATCCATAGACGCGACGCTACGTGTCGTAGTGACCATAATAATTCAGTATTTCAACGCTGTTCCAACAGACAAACGAACTGTCTCGGTTTTGTGCTAAGCGCAGTGCCTATCTTTATAAATGGCCTCCGGAAACAAAGGCACCAACGATGTGAAAGGATGGTATCACAAAACTTGCACTGCACCGGGTCGGCTGGATGGCAAGTTAGCCGTGGTCACCGGAGCCAGTACGGGAATCGGAGAAGTGACAGCCGCCGAGTTGGCACGACGGGGTTGCAAGGTGATTATGGCGTGTCGTGACCTGAAGCGGGCGCAAGCCGCGGTTGATCGGATCTTGGATAAATATGGGCCATCTAAACCAGATAGTGTCAAGCTGGATGTTGCGGATTCCTCAGTTATTCAATACCTGTCAGTGGTGCAACCAGACCAGGTGAGTTTTGAGCAGTTGGTGTTGATACAATTACTCCAGAATAAGTCACCGCGGTGATCAGCTAATGCATATTGCTTCAGACTGTCTTGAGATGTGCCACAAAATTATACCACCGTATTATAGGTTGGAGATGCATTGCTTGATTTTATCGTATACATTCAAATAAAGGTTTTGTGTCATTTTATGCAAATACGGGGATGGTCGCTGTTGCCATTTGATTATGTAAAGCACGTATCTGACAGTTTCCAATTAGCAGTGAAAATTACACAAGTCAATTTGCTAAGAATTTGTTTGACTACTTTCAAAAGAGCGACACTAAACGCTCTGCTAATGTGGCTCACCGACTGCTTCAATATTGCCACAAAATAAGTTCCAGACATGGTGTTAAGTTTAAAAATGAAAACCCACCCCTTTTTGAGCGCTTTGATCGAAAAATAAATCATTTTGTTTACCGGTCTACGTGAATTTACCTAATGACTGTGGAAATCCAAGTTTTACTAATTGTTGAAAATTAGCGCTTTCTGCATGCTTTCAAAAATATCATTTGAAGCTGCGTACCAACATTAGTGGCCATCTTCATTCGCCAATGTTTCTTGAAGCACGACAATGCATGCTTCCAATCCACCTGTAAAGCTAAGCGACAAAGGGAGATTTTGCTTTCTAGAGGAATGTTAGTTGAAGGGTTATTTAGTTGTTCTATGACAAGTTGGTTTGAAACTGAAGCCAGCCATATTTTTTATGGATTGCATTAGGGATTGTGAATTAAGCACACGGAAGCGAGGTAAACTAGTATCTTTCCTATTACACAGGCTTCGCTGTGATGACAATATTCTGGTGACCTACTAGTTAGTGTATTGTGTTAGTGCAACTGTATCAAGTCTTAGTTTGAAATTGGATCTTCGTTTTAATGCACACAGCTTCCCTAGGTATTCCATAACTAGCAAGAGGAAAATACTATTTCACCCGAGTATAATGGTTGGTTGAGATTATTAATCATAAAAATGTACAGGATAGGTACAAAAAGTCATCTTAGCATTCAAATAACCCCTTATTAGTCTTATTTGTTCTACCGTGGTATTACCCAACTTAGTTCTGTTCGTTCATCCTAAGATAACGTAGACTGGGGAAAATGTTTGAAAAAAACAGGAACGTATTCATCGTATATGATGTTGATGTTGAGGTTACCAACACTGGACGCACTTGTTCGTCGCAGTAAAATAAATTTGGTTAGGCGGCCTGTGGGATTTCTTCCAGTCCTCTAAAGAAGGGTAGTTTCAGTAACATTTATACTCTGCGGCGTACTTAGTTTGGGTCTGGCACAAAAGAATCGGAGTTTACTATGTATACCACCAATGAAACCCAGCACAAGCCGACGGCGAACGTAGGCTAACTATCCTACCTAGTTCAAATAAATACAACAAGTATACCTTGCCGTCATAGAAAGCAGAATTGACAGGGTGGTTTACTAGAGAGTTTGCCGGCTGGATTATTAGTCGGTAAGATAAAAATAAGGAGAAAATAAAGTATGTAGTCTGAAATAAGGTCAACAACTAACATCTATATGATCCCTCTTGATCGAGGGATAAATGAATTTAGCACGGGCAAAACAGCGAGGCTTAACAATTCTCGCAGATAAAGAGTGAAAAGAGGATGTGAAAGCATCAACAAAATCAAAGAACTTCATATCTTTGGACTCACCGAATTTTCACTTATGCACGTAGTTTGGTTATATCATGATGTGTCTCAGTAACCTTGACAAAGTCTTATAGTGCATGCGGTGTAATGTTTCACCAAGTTGAGTTTTGGATTCAGTAACTGTAGAAGTGGAGGTGACGAAAAATTCGGAGAGCGTTCCACCAGTGAGATACACTAAGAAAATTGCCGGTGGCATTCCAGCCTGGTGTGCTTTGCCGCTTAATTCAATTGATGGCCCCGAAGTGAGGTTTTGGGATTTAATTTCGATTAATGTCTATGTGGGTAGTTTGGATCGTCTAGGGTCTGAAACAAAAAAATACGATCACAGCGCAGGCGACGGTCTTGACCACCGAAGTCTCCTAGTGTCTGTAGTCTATGCTGGTCACGGTTAACGTTGGTCCTTAACGTTGGTTGTTGCTCTTCTTCGTGAACTCTTAAGAACAGAAAGATCACGTTTGTGCCAGGGAGACCACACATGGATGGAGCGTGTTACATTTGGCTCTAAGTAAGCACTAAGCAATTGTGCAGATGGTGGGACCAAACCGATTAAAGGCTCTCCACAAGTGACCTAAATGCTGATTGTCTTTCCTCGCTGATTTTTCAGCCTGTTTTGATCAAACGAGATTGGCCTGCATGAACATAATCATTTTCGTGGAAAGAGATTGCGAACGATGTTCCCCTAGTCGGAATGGGTACGTTTTCTTATGACGTATGATCGGTACTCGACATTTGGCGGCATGTTCTGAACTAACGAATCGTGTCATATGGTCGTTTACCGTCCTGATAGTCCGCCAGATTTTGAGATCCTGCACCTAAACTAAACGGTTTGTATCGAACACTCCCACAAAATCGTTACTGAAGACGAGGAAAATACTTGGTCTTAGAACCGATCCTTTTGTAATGTCACATTGCATCTCCATCGGGTAAGCAAAGCAGCTACGAACTCTCCTCGTTAGGCGACGTCTAATTAGAAATGCACGTAAACAACCTAGGATTGGTCGCCGATTCAGCAGCTCTGAAGCTTGCTAAGGGGGATGATACGATCAAGACGAGCAAAATGTTTCTTGAAATCTAGCCACACAGCGTCAAGTTCTTTCTCATTGTGTACAGATTCCGTCCAGCTGGTAAGGACTGAAAAGATGTTCGTGGTACATGACCGGTTTTGGCGGAAACTTTGTTGCTCCAGTAAGATGATACTGCATTTGTCCAACTATTCCATAAGGGCCACTGCAATAGCGGATTCCATGAACTTTGAAAGAACTAGGCGAAGAGTTATGTTGCCCTAGTTTGCCGTATCAGTGCGACTGCCTCACTTATAATTGGAGTGGTTCCAAATGGTCGGGAACTGAATATTGTCTACATAATCTCAGAAAAGCCCGGAAAGTGATTCAGCCAAATTGCTGGCTGCCACCTTCAATAGGCTTTGGAGTAAATTATCCGTACCAGGAGGGCTGTGCACACTCGGTGACATCGATCGCTTCAGTACGTTCGCGACAGTAAATGGGATGTAGCTAAGTCGTCCTGGTGATATGCTTCGTGTAAAAATTTTAGAGGAGATCAGTGAGTCTGTGAAATTACAACTGAAATGTAGTCTAGGAGTGTTAGACGTCTCTTGCGCAGTTTGCGCTTGACCGCATGCTGTGTTCAGAGAGGGCATACCACGTTCTACTTTACAGTCTTTTTAACAAGCCTGTAAATAGTTTGAGTTCGCAACCGAACCTCTTCGCTAAATCCTGCTGGTTTTAATTTGTCCTCACGGATCAGGCTGACACTATGATTCCGCCCGGTTATACAGGTCCACTAATTCTTGCTGTTCGAATTGACATCGTATACTTGCCAAATGGAATCTCTCAAAGACATACATTGCCGCCTCCTACTCCTTACCAAGAACAGCACGTTTTTCGAGCTGCAGTTCTTTAACTGGTGCGTTTGTTATCAACGTTTTGAACAAGACGGTGAATTCCTCCCAGGTAACGTCATGGGCTTGGTCAGTGAACTTGATGAAGACGGGCGGCGTGTCTTAGTGTGTTACGATTTCTATTTCCTCGTTGTCCTCGTTGGAGTGCTTCGCATAACAGATGTATTGGAAAAGCAGTGACGCATGATCGCTGCGTCCCAACCGGTTACTCACTGTTACTGTGTAGAGCATAAGTTTATCATAGATAAACACACAATAAAAGATATCCGGTTTGTTTTCTGTCCTTAATCGCTTAGGGGAGATAAGGTGACTATAAAGTATTAAGCCTGCGACTAGCTCTTGCAACTCGGCTTTAAATTGCTCACTATGGGTGATTGGAACCTCAACAGCACGCAAATTGAAGTTTCGAACAACAAGAACGTGAATGTAGGGATGTGCCCGAACGGTCTTTAGAATATTAGCTAAATGATTGTCCATTTCTACAGTTGACGTGTCATCAAGTCTGAGTTGCAAGCGGCGCGGGGTTTGCTGTATAGTAGTTTGTGGTAAGAATCAATGTACAAGTTACGATATTCAGTTTATCGCTTTTAGTTGGATCACTGCATTTGCTAAGTGATTCCCTGTCTGGTGTAGTCTTGATGAAGGTATAACATGTGATGCATAAGTGAACGACCTAAAATTCCCTATATTATTTTTCCCGCTCTACACAAACTTACCCAGAAACCTGTCACCTAATATCACCATCTTTGACTAGCTACATGCTGGCGGTGAAATCTAGTATTGTTAATAATGATGTGAAGATGCCAGATCGTAAATAATGTAGCATCTTGATCAATGGTAGGAGGACATAAGTACGTTAAGTTAAGGGTTTTAGTCAACTAAACAGAGAAAGTTATATGACTACTTACTAGTTAAAGTGAGTAGAAACCCTTTGTCTGTTTGTGCTAACCCTATTGCAGCATTTCCGAATAATCGGAATGTATGGATAGAAGATATACCTACATCAGGTGGAGTCTTAGTCAACTGTTAAAACGTAGATTTGTATTCTGAACAACAGTTGCGAGGCAGTGAGTCATCGTAAGGGTTCATTTTTGGGTAGTTCCCATGCAAACAACAAGTAAATAACGCATATGACGGGCAACTTTTCACGTTTGGGTATGCTGCCATAAATCAAAAACAGACTAGTATATTGAAGGAACTTACTGGGTCCAATATAAAAAGGTCGAACTCCGATAGTTTTGCATGGGCATCGCTCGAGCATCCATTGTCAGAGCACATAAATCTTCCTAATTCAAACGTGTCGTTTCTATAAATTTGATAGTCAAACTTTCGCGAGTAAAACATGTCGAAATCTTCAAATGCCAATGAAACACCAAAAATTATCCCCTAACACACCACTGAATAAAAAAGTTAATCATTCATCAGATGTCCATCATCTCCACATACTGGTATGTCGTTCATGCATTAAGATTGTAAGAATTCAGTCTTCTAGTTTATCGTCAAAATCCACAGCTTAGCAGAAGATTCCAGTTTAGGTGATCATCCTTAATAACTCTATACATGTTATTTCAGCTAGTATTGGAAACGCTGGATTTGGCCTCGCTTCAGTCGGTCCGTGAGTTCGCCAGTCGAATATCATCGAAGTACGATAAATTGGACTATTTGATCAACAATGCCGGGATCATTCAATCTAAACTCAAGAAATCGGTTGATGGATTCGAGTTGACCCTGGCAACAAATCATCTTGGTCCATTCTTGCTTACCGAGCTACTGACTCCGATGTTGAAACGCGCGGCCCCATCAAGAATTATCAACGTGTCTTCTTTGGGGCACTACAGAGCTAAAGTTTGGAAGCCCAACTTTTTTCTCCCAGAAGAAGAATTCTCTGATGAGGCAGCTTACACTTGGTCAAAGCTTGCCAACGTGATGCATGCGAAGGAACTGAGTCGTCGGCTTGTAGGCACTGGAGTGACTGCGGTTAGCCTCCATCCGGGATTCGTGAAAACAGAGCTGGGAAGAGACTGGACGGGCTTTACTTCGGTATGCTCCATCAGACTTATCACTTTTTATCCGGCTAGTTTTTCTAGGTGAAGTGCACTCTTCTTACTTAGTTCATTTGAGTTAAATGAAGACGAAAGGAAGTAGGTGAACATGGCTATTTCTTATGAAATGTTACTTAACTACAATTCGTAATGCAAGATTTAAATGATTATCTCGCTTCGCAGACAATACTAGCCAAATTAATTAGAAAATCAGTAATCCATGGCAGGCGGCATTAAGAGGAATACTAACAGGGCAACTACCGTGTCGACATTTCGAGCAAATGGCACGAACGCAATCAGACAGAAAAGTATAGCTGCATTCGGGAGTCCCGGAAACTCTGGTATACGCTTCCGTGGAGTGGCTGTTCTGTTCATAGAGAAGAAAGAGAACTGGTGAAAATATTTAAGTCAATTCTTTAAGCAAATCCCATTCACCAATTTATTTAGCTCACTAAAGAGACGATTTAGTTGTAGCACACCACAACAGATTGACTGCTGTAAAGTTATTAGAAGAAGTAATGTATATTCGCATCTGGGAGTGATTGAACCCGAGAGGGCTAAATCTAAATATACAGAGGCGTCATGCTCATGCATGTGGTTTTCAGGTGTTATTTGTCATGTGTTTTGTAACTGCGGGATTCCAAACGGGCAGATGACAGTGCCCGCAATGTGGGTACTAGGTTGCAGTTTGTCTGCTGTGTGAGTTTGCATTTTCCAACCACAGTCCAGCTTACAGAAGCGCGTTTTCATTTTCTTCCACCAGACGGCCAAAATAGCCAAGCGAATGTCCCGATAAATGTGTAAATAGAGCGGGAGAATTAAGTTAAACGGGGGAAAATAAAACAAATGAATGCAATAGCGAAAGGCGAAAAATCATAAGACTAGACATACATTTTTATATTTTAAGCGAAATATAATGCAACTAGATAAAGCAATTCTTTAAGCATGCACAAGATACGCAGTATGCCATTCATACATTAAATCAGTGAGTGGACTTGGATGGCGACCGAACCAATTGGACTACCAGTCTAAAGTGCTTTCTAGGGCAAAAAATGAGGAAAATGTAAAAGCAAATAGGCCAAACGCAGCAAGCAGGCGGTACTCTACCTTATAATGGCAAAATAGCTGTGATATCCTGAACAGTTTGCAAGTTACGCAAAGCTGCGAATAACGCCTTAGGTTAATGTTCGCTAAAATTGCGGTCTTGTTTTCCAAGCAAAACAAGAAAAGAAGAAAGAAAAATAAGTTACAGTGCATATATATAGATTCTAGGTAACAAGACGCATCTAATAAGCCGAGACACAGCAGACAAGTAGAGATGGTGGCGACATGCAATCTGAAAGACCGAAAAATCTGATATTTTGTGCCTAGGTAATTGAAAGTAAAATAATTAACACGTGTACCTTCACGATCATGATAAAGGATCCACGCGGGACATTACGTAAAGGCAGTAGCTGTGAACTCGCTGTGAACTCAATTAGTCCACTGTAAGATAAACCCCTCGAACATTCTTATGATAATACTGAGACTTAGCGAAATGCAATGAGAGAAAAATCTACTTTTTCCATACCTTCAAGTGGTCCAGCTATAGTGCTGTGCAGCATAACTCTTGACCACATGGAGACAGCAGTCCAGCTCAATATTCATTTGGCCAATATGAGCTAATCTGCCCCCAATTTATGTGGGGGAGACTGCAAATGCTACCACTGTTTTGCGTTCTAGATAACAGAAGGTTTCGGTATGTTTTACTCTTGAGTTACAAGGCTTAGGTCAACAAGGATAGTAGATAAGAAGAGGAAAGATAAGAAGCAGCCTGTAGTACTGATAATTCCGCTGAGACCGTTAACCGGGGCCTTGACGACCATGACTCTAACACCTTAAGAGTGAATAAGGTAGAAATATAGGTATTACTCGTATTTGAGTACAATAAGCGTCCATCATTCTACCATTTTCGAGGCTGCCCTATACTGTTTTATAGATCTGATGTAGGTGGGTCATTATCTGGCAGTGGAGGTTTGACTAACGTAAGCTCGCATGTATCGTGCGCAAGCGCACTTGTGGTTTTGCTGGTTATGGCTGTTCCACTGCGCCAGGCATAATGAATGAATAATATTATAAGTTAAGAAGATCAAGGCGTCTTTAAAGCTAGAAGCTGGTTATCCACTCAACACTGTGTATGAATTTCTTCAGCATATAGTGGGCATCAGAGCCAGGAAAAATATAAGTTTCGTAGTGATGGCCAAGGTAAGATGAAGTGGTGATCAAAATGTCCTGGATGTCCAGCCTTCCGACATGGCAGTGGCACTCTGACACACGGCAAGCTTTCAAGCCAGTCAAGAGCATATGCAAAGGCAAATATGTAAGAATGGCCAAAATGGGATCTGGTTTTTCCTGCTGCCAGTCAGCAAATGTTTCCGATAGCGATTGGCGAAAATTTAACTCAGATAAAAGCTAAGCGGAATGGGACCAAGTTAGGAGAAAGTGGGTTCACAAGCCTGCGTCCCAAACTATTTCTGATAATGGACAGCTGATTATCCCGTTAAGATACTTCGCTTATTAGCGAGCAACCAAAACTAGGAACAGGACACGTAAGTGCATGGCATTAAGGGACTTAGCATGGCACACCTATATAGCCTCCCCGAACGACCATACCTGGGATGTCTACACAATCCATAGGAACCACTGTGTCAAACTCCTCCGGGAGGATAAACTTAAGAACCAACAAGATCTAGAGGAAAAGTTTTTCTCCTATCCCAAACTGCTATACAGGCACGTAAACAATTTGCTCCGTGTTAAGCGCGGTATTCCTACTCTGCACACAGCGTGCGGGTTAGCCCAAACCGCACTAGAGGCAGCCAAGGTCCTTGGATAACAATTTGGCCGTACCTTCCAAAGCACGCAATCAGCATATATCATGCCTAAGCAGTTAACGCCGCCATCAGGGCTTATTCACATATCGTTCACCTCCGCAGCTGTACTGAAGAGGCTGATGTCTCTGCGCGAGTTCAGCTCCCCGGGTGCGGACGGCATTCGTCCGAAGGCGTTGAAAGTTGCTGCCATGAGTTTGGCAGGACCACTAGCAATATTTTTCAACAATGTCCAAACGAGACGCACGTCCCCACCATGTGGAAGCACGGAATCATCACGCCTATTTACAAAACTGGTAGCCGTGCTGAACCAACAAACTAGCGCCCGATAACACTACTTCCTGTAAGCTCCAAGGTTATGGAGTCCATCGTAGCTGAGGCTCTAATGAGGTACCTGGAGAACAACACAATTCTCGTTCCGGAACAGCATGGATTTCGCCAAAATCGCTCCTGTACAACTAATCTCTTGATTGCTCGTGCAAACTGGACGGAATCTGTGGACTCTGGTTCAGGAGTCGATGCGGCCTACTTGGATTTCTCAAAGGCATTCGACCACATAGACCATCGCATTCTCCTTCACAAACTCCAGAAATATGGAATCGGCGATCCTGTTCTGGGCTGGAAAGGAGATTTTCTCGTGCAACCTCACCTGAATGTGAGGGTTAGAAGCAACCTATCAGAATCCATCGAAGTTCAATGCGGCGTAACTCAAGGCTCGGTATTTGGACCCCGCCTGTTCCTGGTTTTCATAAATGATCTCGCGAGTGTGCTATGTTCTAACTGTTTGCTATTTGCTGATGACCTAAAGGTATGGCGTACTATAGCTGCAGTGGAGGATCACACCTTCTTACAGGAGGACCTGGACAAAGCGTACACATGGTCCATCGGGAACATGCTGCATTTCAACGTCACCAAGTGCAAAGTTCTCAGCATTTGTCACAAGAGTATGCACAACTACCGCCTAGAACCACAAATTCTACAGCGGACTTCGCACGAGTGCGATCACGGATTGATAGTTCAAGATGATCTAAGTTGCTCGAGGCAGACTGAATAGGCAGCTAAGAAAGCGAACCCGTACCTCGGCCTTCTTCGCAGAGCTTTCGGGAAGTTTGACCCTTCGAGCTTTTCAAAAATGCTTAGTGCGTACGTGAGGTCGCACGCGGAATACGCTATCCAAGCTTGGCAATCCTGGCTCAAGCACCATCTCACCGCGCTCGATACTGCACAACGTAGGGCAACGAAGAGCGTCAGAGGTTTGACCAGCCTCCCCTACTCACTCAGGCTGAAGACCCTCAAAATATACAGTGGACGTTATCGGCGTCTAAGGGGCGATCTCATAATGGTGTACCAGATCCTGAGAAACCCCAACCACCCATGCCATTCCCTTCTAACACTCAGTCAAAACACCTCGCTCAGAGGTCACCAGATTAAGTTAGTCACGCAGTAGAGCCGCCTGGAATGTCGGCGAAACTATTTCTTCCTTCGAGTGGCACAGCCTTGGAACGCCATTCCGGAACATGTAATTAATGCACCCACCCTATCCCTTTTCAAAAAACGCCCTGATGATACCCTGTCACATTTACATTACGTGCTATAGCGCATGATCATCAGATGCTGGCACTAATGCACAACAGACAGGGGATGGTGCCATAACTCTACTCGAGAATGAGTCATTCCAAACGCCTTGCACGAAATTTGATAAATGCTACTACTTGCTACTACTACCTGCTACTACTGGATTTCAGTATCATGTCGACCCAAGGTAGTTGCACACGAGTAAGCGCTATTCTTGCTATCCTTTTTATTTTTCTCGCCTATGATGTGATCAATAACCACTCCCCTGTTGCTTTGTGTGCGTACATTCTCATTTCAAGCTCCCTTTATACGACAGTGGATTTACATCTGTAAGCGCCTGAACTGTCCACTCTATTATCCCTGGCTCTATCATTTTTGTCACGCTAAACACCATACGGGACATGTTAAGCACCTGTTTTTTTATCCGTTATAAATCATTATTTATTGTTCAAGCCGGATTTAACCAAAGGAAGTTAGGCACAGTAAGGGGAGTAATAACAGCAATAAGGTCCTAGGCCTACACGAGCTCCCGCAATTACTCGTAGTTTGGGAGCTA